GTAATTTATTTGCACACTCCTATGAAGCTCAGGTCTATTAGCAGGTAGCAGCAGTGCAGGTGTTTGAGGAAAACCCTGCTAACCTTGAAGTGATTTTTCAGAAGCACATTTTCCCTCCCTGTAGGTCCCTTTGTGCCCTGGAAACTGAGCGTGGCTGTTCTGCCTTGCCATGGGAACACTGTTTCGAAGAACATTTCCTTTAACCAGGCTTTTAGCACATCCATTTTGATTTACATCCAAATGGGTCACAGACATCAATGCAGTATTATATGGGCAGAAAAAAAGGAATGAAATGCTTTTAACATGAAAAATATGCTCTTGCATATAGGCCAACTTTTGTTCTCTTTCAATTTATCTAGGATTTGGGTGGGTTTAATTCTAGGACCGAATTCAGTACTGGCATAAGTGAGCACAACTCCATTAGTGCAAATGGAGTCTCAGCATTTATGTCAACAGTGAACTTAGATCATTGAATTTTTCCCATGTTTGGGCTTGCATGTTTCCTGCACGATAATATACACATGCATTTGCACATATGCTGCACATATGCACATAAAAATCCACTGAGGAGCACATTTGGCTCTTTGCTCCGTGCTGACTTTATGAATAGAAACTGCAATCAACTTGTGAATTTTTTTGCTTCTCCTGTAGCTAATGTGCCATGCATCTGTAAGGGTCAGCCATGCAGAATGCCACGTTGGGAGTAAAATCCCGAGTAGGAAAGGCAAACATGAAAATTGCTTTTCTTTCCTCAGTGTGCAGGACCGCACATGCAGGCAGATCCACGTGATTAATTTGTGCCGATTTTCTCTCCCCTGTTACCATGAAGTTGAACACTGTTGTGAACAGAGGGGTACATAGAGATACTACAGATGCTTATCATTGGAGTGAATTGTAATATTTACTCAGCTGCAGGCCTCAAGTGTAGTGWGTGCCATGAGCCAAGGCAGAGGTGTCTCATTCTCTGCGATCCTTCCTGCAGCACTGGGGGTGTTTGTTGGGCTGATCATCAGGTTTGAGAGAGGTGTGAGCATTGCATTTTCGTGGATTACCATATATGAGATGTCCTGACTATAGACCAAAACCCAGCTGTGTTGGGAACATAAAGCTGACAGATGATTTTTGCCACAAACTTTCACTACAAACACGTGGCAGAGGTGACAGACACACGCAGGTAAGAGTTGTGCGCACTGGTCAAAGGCTGTTGGAGGATCTGTACTGAGGAGTCCATCTTTGTGGGCACCAAATGCTTCCCCCTAAATATTTAAAAGCAATGGTAATATTTTCTTATTTTTGCTTGTTTTTAGATTGAAAGGCCTTTGGTATCTCCTGAGAGGGACTTTTCCAATGCTCCCTCTGCCCAACAAAATGGTGTGTCCTTGTTTTTTCAGTATCAAAAGAGCTAAATAACATTTGTGGTGAGAATTAGAGGACACTGATCTATGGAGCAGTATGAAATGGGATCGCTAGGAAGAAAAGTAGAGCTCTGCCCACGTATAAAACTTGACCCTTCTCTGTGAACATTATCCCTGTGAATAATTGGAAATCTGCATTCAGGCTTCCCGCTGTGTCCCATCCCCTGAGGCCACACCCGCTGTATTGCTTTACATGGCGCAGCAATGCACAGCGAGATTTACATATATATATCACAGAAAAGTGTTTACAAAAAAAATTAGCATGTGATTGAGCTGGGAAGCTGCAGAGGGCCCCAACTGTACGAGTTTCCATGCTCTTCAGCCAGAAGATTTATTTCCAATTTGTTATTCATAAGGGAAGAGAGAGAGAGATTGGGATGGGGTCCTTTGAAGTGGAAAACAAAGTCTTCTATTCAGCCTTCAGCCTAATAGAATACACATGACACAGGCTTGGCATGGCGGCKGCTTTCATGTAATGTGCTCCTTGTCATTTTGCTTTCCTAGGCTGTGAGTGCTGGTGGGAATGGGTATTGCCCTGGAAAAGTCAGGTTATCCCCTGCAGCCTKTGCAGCAGGAGGAGCACAGTGTGAGCAGGTAGGAGCCTTGTGGGGAACCCAGGCTGAGCCAACCCTTGCAGTCGTGTTCAGGTTGTGTTTCGTGTTGCAGGAGCTTGTGGAGACAGAGCAGTGTCATTGCAGGGATTCTGCAGGCTTTACATGGGCACTTCTGCCCTTTTTGGAGCCACTGAGCTGTGCCCTGTGGGCTCTGAGCTCTGCCTGACCTGAGCTCTCACCATTATCCTCGATTGGAAGGCTGTTCTGTGCACCATCTGGGGTGGCAGAGTGTGCTCCCTGCAATAACCAGCAACTGTGTTCAAAGGCAGTGTTTTGGGGAGAAATATATATGGATCCTGTGTGTCCTTCCAGGAAAAGGCCCTGRTTTTACAGTAATTTCCAAACCTCTAACAGCTTCTGTGCTTTGCCCTGTCTTAATGGTATTAAAACCTGCTCAAAGGGTGAGTGTTTCTGAAGAACTTGCAAGCCTGACTTCCCACAAAGCCCTGTCAGTTAGCTGGTCCATGGGCCATGAGAGAAAGCATGTGTGACCTCCAGCAYGTCATCTTGGCCCGCAACAGCGTGTGGTTAGAAAGAATTTGGGCTGGAGTCCTGCCGGTCCTCTTGGCCCTGTGACACTTGTTCCTCTTGGCTTCCTCCAGCCTCATGTCCTCGTGCCCTGCTTCCCTCTTGCTCTTCTGCATGTTCAGGTTTGGAGCTCTGGGTGAATCACCGAAATTGGAGATGGAAAGAAACACATGAAGTCATCTCATGCTGCCCTTGCCAGTGCAGGATTATTCCCCACAGTGCAGTCTCGAGTGCCTTCTCCAATCTATTTTTAAATGACTCAAAGGAGAGGGCTTTCCTCTCCTCCCTGGGGAGGCTGGCTCCACCATTCAGTAGACCTCACTGWTGGGGAATTTGCTTCCTGTTCTCCAGCCTCAGTTCTCCTTTTCCCTAATTTAATTGAACTGTTCCTGGCTCCACCCTTTTAAACAATTTTCTGTGTTACATGACTGTTGCAAATACCTGTTGTCAATTTGCAGCCATAATGGATGGGAATTCATCACCGTTTGCCTTGCTTGGCAGARGCTCTTTGTGCAGAGCTGCACTGGGAAGCCAGGCTTTAGCAGAAACTAGATTTCAGAGCTACATGCCAAGAAATCAGAATGACCTTTTCTTTCTTCTTCAGACAATGACATTAACATAAAACCCCATCATGATTGAGAATAGGCTGGGCTTCTGGCAAGGCCATGAATGTCTGTATTAATGGGCTGGTTTCCTCTTAGTCCTCCAGCAGCTCTTCCTCAGTGCATTTTTACATGGCAGCAGTAACTGTTCTGAGTTTTAGGGTTTAGCTGTAGATGTACTTTGGARAAGGTTTAATAAAAAAATACAGTAATTCTGGTTTTATCTCAGCAGAGCTATGGCTTCAGCAGCTCAGTTTCTAAACTCTGACTTTTGATTCAAGGTTTCTTAAGCACCTGAAGTGTTTTGCAGATGGGTGCTGAAGGTGAGATTTATGYTTTGACGACACCCAGTATTTCAGAAGGTAATTCGTCTAAGGGAGTGTGTATCCTTCTTCCATCAGGACTGAGTTGCAAGAAAACTGTGTGTGTCCAATGACTGTAAGTTATTCCAGCAAAGCATATTATGGTTTTGAAGAATTATGAATCCCTATTTATTTATTTATGAGATGAAAATCAGTTTTTGCTGTGGGTGATGGCAGAATAGCAGCCCATACCGAAAACACCAGGAAAAGAATGGCTAGCATTAAAGAGGCTGGAATCCCTTTAGTGCTTTCATACAGCAGAGCTGCAGCTATTTAGCTGTGGCAGAGTACCAAACAACATTGTGGCTGGCCATTGTTGCTTGAACAGTTTGAGTTTTAAAACATTCAACTGAAATATAACCACCAGCCAGGCTGGAAGAAGCGAGTCACGAGTACAGCGAGTTAAATGAAGAGTCAGCAAATGAGGAAAGGGTTCTCCTGCTCCAGTGGAAAGTGGATGTACTGCAGAGCAGTATCTCAGCCTAGCACTGCTATCCAGTTGCTTTTAAGAAAATTTTATASTACAGAAGTAATATGACTTTAAAAAGGAGAATGCCACAGCTATAAAATAAAATTGCTGATTTCTCTGCGGTGGGGCTCAGAAGGGCYGTGGATCCCATCCCATTTTGCTCAGTACTGATCCTCACATCATAAACCAGAAACCAGAGAGCTTCCCATGTGAATTTTTTGAGGAGATGGGAAAGGGGTGAAGGAGGAGAGAACACAGTGACTGCAACAAACCCCTCCCAGCAGACACTGCCCTTTGCTGCTTGTATTGACCGGGCTCATCAAACTGTGAGGCTTGGGAGGTGTTTTTGGATGGCCCTGTTCTTGTTGGGGTTTAAATGTGTGTGTTTGAATGCTGCTGTGAGTTCATGGCTGGRAGCCCCAGAGAGGAGGGTGTGTGGTCCCTAATGGCGCCAAGTGAAAAACAGAGACACACCTGCTTTGGGATATAATGGGGGTGATAAGAGTAATTTCCTAATGATGGGGTTTTTGGGGGAGTGCGAGGGGAAGGGTTGGTTTAAGAAATGCAGGGGAGCAAACAGGACTTGCATCTCGTGGTAGTGGGGGCTTTTCATTTTAAATGGGAGCCTTGGGTACATCTGGGCTGAGCTGATATTGGTTCTTGCATGCCGCCCTCCCGCTCASTGTTTTGCTTTGTGCTGTTTTATCTGCCAAAATGAAAATAAATTCACAAAATATTTGCAAAGTTGCATGGCCACAGGCTTAAATACATACATATGAATTCCCTGAAAGCAATTTGCTCCAAGCCCTCCTCAGTTCCAGACGTCTTTCTCACTCCATCTGCTTGTTCAAGTACACAAGTTCCTTGGGAAAAATCACTTATTACATCACTGAAAAATGCCACAAAAATAGCTTTTCACTTAAGTTCCCATCCTCAGAGTTAACTCACATGGGGATCAGATAGATTCAAACATTTAATAACTTTTTATTTTCCTTTCTCTTTAAACACAGGATCTCTGGTCATGGAAGCAGGGTCACGTGGTGGATTCTTGGCAGTCAGCAGTCTGTGGAGCTTTTGCAGGTGCAAAGGATTATATGTTATACTGGGAAAGACTAAAGAAGAAAGGGAAAAATGTGCAAATCTATTAAGTATAGCAGAACAACATTCCTTTGTAATTCAAGTTTGTTTAGAAGAAAACGGATCCAGTTGTTGTTTGGRAATAGGAAAGTCAGCAAAGGGAAGAGAAGAACTTAAAAAAAAAAAAGAAGACTCAACCAGGGTGTCTGTTTGAAAGACAACCAATTTGTTTTTGACAAATTTCTGTTATTTAAAAACCGGGGGCCTGTCAGTCAGGCTTTGTGATTATTTCAAAGTTGATTTGTAAAATCCTCATCCAGGAGAAACTTCGCTTGGGTGGGGGTTTGTGCAGCTGTTCACTCCGGGCACTTCCCCCGGGGCTGAAGTGATTGCAGAGGCCGTGATTCACCATTCCTGTGACAGCTCTGACAGCCTTGTAGATTAACTGGAGGCAGGAGAGCAGAGGGCCAGCACTGCTCAGCCTGGAGGCAAAAGCCTTCCACAGCAAAAAAACCCCAGAGGATGAAACATCTGGGCAAKCTCCAGACACTACAGCAGGAATAAAGAGTGGCAGAATACCATRCTGCACTATTTATTACCAAACAAGCCAGAAGTTAATTGAATTCTTCAGTAGGCTTCTTGCTTGRTTTTAGCCTACTGTACTTGTTTCAAACAAAACACAAAAAGAGGGAAAAAATTGGTTAATGACTCATCAGTATAGCTGACAAGTTTGAGGGAGGAGAGACTCAGCTKTCTTAATAGAAAAAACAGATTAATAGTAAAGGGATGGATAGCCAGAGCTTTTTCCCCAAGGAGCTAAAATACACTTTGAGATTCCAAACCAGTAACAGAATATGTGGAAAAAATAAATCCCATTTAAAGAGAAATTATAGCATTTCCTGAAATAGATATTATCAAAAGCAAAGCTTGTTCTTTGATAGCTTACAAAATCAGAGCCATTACACTGTATGCAATTTAAAAAATAAGTTAGGGGAAATGAAGTATTAATAGGAGCAGAATTCCAGAAGAAACTGAGACTTCATTTGGAAGGGCACTGAAACTGCACAGCTGAGGGGAGGCAGCGTGGCTGTAGCTGCACAGAGTTAAGYAGATTGGGTGTGTGAGCAGTGAGGGAATGGTTTAGGTAGAACTGATTCCATTTTGAGGCAGAGGGAATATTTTAGATGACCTTTTGTGGTCTTGTCCAGCTGCATTTTTTCTGTTTATGTTGGTGGGAAGGGAGTTTTATTCTGCTTAAGCTCCCGCTGTTGAATTTTACACTGACTTCATCAATCAGTGCAAACAGAATCAGAGCAAATGAAGCAGATCGTTCATTTTTGTTTTGAAACAAATCAAGATATCAGACTAAAAATGCTTTAAAATGCAATCTATATGTCTGCAGGTGTGATGGGGATCATTAATTTACTTCTGTTGATTTTTTTACAACTAGATTGATACAAAAAACTGTGTTCAGGCACGTTCAGAGAGCTGGAAAGGTTATCTGATTTACCCAAGGCCTTGAAGAGTAATTTCCTGAAGTCCAATTTGGTGCCTCAGTTGGAAATTTAGCCCAGTGCCTCCAGTTCCTTCTCTGTATGTCTTGATTCTGACCAGTTGTGCTTGGCCTTGCTACAATTTAATGGACATTCAGCAAGGTCTGCTGCTTTTCTGGCAGAAATCTTGCAGAAGGAGTTTCCAGAGGCACAGCTGTGCCRTGGACATGTGCTCACTGTCCTTTGGCACACGCTGGGGAGACCAACACTTGGTTTTGGAGGAGACATCAGCTCCTGGAGCAGCACAGAGACTGTGGTGGTGGTAGATGAGACAGTTGAGCCTTGTTGCTTTCATAGATTTTATTCCCCAAGCACAAATCTGTGCAGAGCTGGAGTCTTGTTTTGTAGATCCTGTTGTAACTGGTGAGGATAAATACTCTCTGGGTTTTCCTTCCCCCAGCCTGGTTTTCTTTCTCAGTGCTTTGTTTCCCTATTTTTTCCTTTTCACCAGCAGTATTGTAAAATTCCTTTCTRATATGACCTTGGAGGATCTGCTTCAAAACTCACGAGGTTCAGCTCTTTTTGGATCAGAACCTTCCCTTCTTCTCCATTTCCTCCCTCTGAGATATGTAACAAGCAGGCCCTGATAGTGATTTATTCTGGTACTRCATCCATTCTATTTCACTGAAAATATTTTGCCTTCTTGCTGAAGGGAGGCAGTGGAAAAATAATTTCCTTCTTTCTGAAGAATAGAKTCCAGAGTTAAAAATTATTAACTACCTGCATGTAGCTTCAGATGAGGGAAGAGAAATCAGACCAAACTCTTTATCCCTTTCTTTCCATCCCAAAACAAAAAAATCAAAACCTCTCCAATACCCTGTGAATAAAACAAGATAGATGTGTACAGAGAARTGATTTAAAATCATTGTGTTTTAAAGCCTCTAAAGGATAATGTTACCCAAAAAACAGCCTTTGCACTCAGATWTGCTGTCAAATGCCACCATGGTGGTGTTGGGATGGTGAAATCACACAGACAGGCTTTTCTCCTGTGTTCTTTGCTTGAATTCAATACTTTCTAAAAATATGTTAGAGGTCCTGAGGGGCAGGGTAATAAGCTGAGAGCAACTGAAAGAAAAGTTCTGTTCAGCTTCCCTTTATGGCACACACACACACGTGTGTGTGTGTCTGTATGAGTTGGTTGTAACTCTTTGGTGAAGACAGAACCAAGAGCAACAATCTGTTGAATTCCATCCCCAGTGCMTGTGAAATGGCAGCAGTTTCAGCCAAAGTGCTGCGAGAGGCCCAGTGCTGCACTGTTGAGCCCTCGTGTGTAAGATGGATGTGTGTGATCCATGGGCTTTTTATGGAAATGTAATAGGCATGAACGTAAATATTRGAGATTTGGAATCCTCTCTGACTCGTGTTAATAGTTTCATCCCTCAAGGCCTTGTCCAGTTTTATCATTTGGTGTCTTAGCAGAGATGTTTGGAGCRGTTGGGGAGTGGGAAAAGGTGATGCCTGAGCAGCTGGTGGGGAAGAACACAAGGGGAGATCTCAGTGATATTTAAAGCTTGAGGTCGTGTTTGAACCAAACCTTGCCTCGTGTCTGAGCTGTCTGGGTAGGGAATGGGGGCAGAGAGGGGAGCATGGCCCCATACTGACATGATTCTGGTTTGACCCCACACTCACCCCAAGGCTTCTCTGGATTTAGTCTGGACCAGCCCACCCTGCAGTGTTCCAGGGCAGGCTGTCCCAGGAGAGCTGCTGGGTGGGTTTTGTGTGTTCTCCATGGAAGTGGGACAGTGACAAGGAAATCCTGCCACTGGTTATCAGCTGTTGGAAAAGAAAAGAACTGCCTGGAGCAGMGAGGTGATCCCCAGCTTGTCAAAGAACCTAAATGTCCATTTAATTCGATTGAAAATTGCCCGTTAAGGTGCCTTYTTTCTCACTGCCATGAGAAAAAGTGTGGTTTAACATTAATAATTAATGCTCTGTGGTGACAAAGTCACCAAGAATGGAGGTGCAAGTCCAGTGAGTCATAATGCACTAAYGAGAGCTTTTTGCACATTAACAGGGAGGATTTCCCATCACTTTTGTTTTGATCTAATCGGCTCTGACAAGATTACACACTGTGTCTAAAAGCCTCTTTAACTCTATAGCTCTGAATAAATTTTTGAGTAGTTCTCAAGATTTCCCTGCAGACTCTGCTTGGAACATGCTCCTAACCCTGAATTGGTTAAATCTCTGGAGGGAGCAGTGCTTTGTCTTGGTATTTCTGCTGAAATCCAAAGAGGTTCTTGGATCACTTTGCTCTGCTGCAGGCAGGTGTTGTTCCCACACTGATAAAGGACCAGAATAAACTTCCTCTTAAGAAAATTTAACATGATATCAATAAAATAAAAGTTCAAATAAGAACTTATTGATTGAAGAGTCCTGAAAAAGGCCATTTGTCTAGTTGGAAATCAGTCAGTGTAAGAGAATGCTGTGAGGTTTGGTGTTGGACCTGAGCCACTCAGTTTTTCAGCCTGGAAATTGGGATTTGATCCTGAATCTGTCCATGGTAACTCCAGGTGTCAGTACAGAAAATAATAGTGAAGAAAGCCAATAGTACCAATCAGCCAATCCAGCTCAACCTGGATTTTTTTTCTTTTTGTAAAATGGGCTAATTCCAACAGGGACATTAGTCAATAATAAGTTTCTGTTTCTTGAAATGAGATTGACCTRCTGAACAGGGCTGGCCAGATGCCAGGAACACAGATCAGGGGGAACCCCTGTAATGGCCAGAAGGGTTCCCTGGACCCTATAGAAAAGATGAGGAGAAGTTAAAGTGGAAAATAAAATGCCAAACCTGAAGGAAAACTTGCCTTCCTCCCTCCATAGGATCTTATTTGAGGGTTGTGTCCTGTAGCAAATTCTACAGGCAGCCACCTTAGTGTGAGGACCTTATGTATTGCTCTCAGGTGAAGTATTTCACTCTCTTCTGATGCTTTTATTTGTCTRTGRCTGCTAAAAAGGGTAGGAAATGCCAGCAGGAGCCTRGGGGAATATCTAAAGTCTTCCAAGTCTTTTTATTCTTATTGCCAAAAAAAAGGTAAATCATTCTCTGCAGATGTCTGTCACCAGCACTTCCATCAAGGGCTGGTCGCTGGGAAAGTGTGAGTAGCAGGGGGATTTTCTGTTTAACACCAGGCTTGGTAAAGTTTGGCTGCTGTGTGAATATACAATGACCACTRTAACTTCTTGGGAGATGGGTGATGAATTTTCCACTGCTGTGTGAAGGTTTATTTTCCCAGTAGAGGAATCTGYCACTCTGCTGGAAGTATTAACAAGCCAAGAACCTTCTCCCACGTGAAAATCYATCTTTGTGCCTACTTGCTGAGCCTGAGTCATCCCCAGATCTGTCTGGGGCAAGGGAGAAAGGAGCCTTTTCCAAGGGCAAGTTGGTGAGTGAGCCTGGACACAGAGTGCCTGTGAAGGTGCCTTTTCCCCATCAGCTCTACAGAGAAACCAGTTTCTCTGATGATTTAGGAGTGTGAGGCTGGATGTGTCTGGGCCTYTCTTGCCTACCTGATACTCTGCTTTTCCTGGTTGCTGTTCAGTGGAGCAGACTCCAGCCTCATGTGGCAGCTCTTGGTGAGTTCAGTGACAGCAGGAATTGAATTAATTAAATTAGTACTTTAATAATTAGATTATTAATTAAATAAGTACTTTAAAGATCTGTTTTCCCTATTGTATATTGGTACAGTGCACAGCCCTCCTGTTTTCACGAAGTTGATCAACTTTGTGTTTGTATCTGTTGTATCAATCTGSTGATTGGAAACAGTCAAGTTTTAATTCCTTTATCCTGTTCTTGGATACCTGTGTACTAAGGTTTAAGAAGTCACTCTAAAATTATCTTGGACATTTAGAGTTAAGCCTGGAGAATATTCATTTTGTCAGACTGTCTGCCTTCAATAAAAAGCAGTCCCCAACAAATGCTAGCTTTAATCTCATGGTTTTGTCAAGCATATGCAAACTTGCTTTTAATTTAGCCGCTATCCTGCTGCTTGTTGTACTTATGAAGCATTTTATTGTTGCTGTTGCCATTCTGAATTGATTGGTAAATCTGTACCAAATACTTCCCAGTGATGGAAAAAGAAACATTGAAATGTTAATAACGAAAGAGTAGGGAAGATCCAGATGTCAGCTGAGGAAAAAAAATGAAAAACCAATCAGCCTTGATTAAACTTTTCAGATAAGAATTTGGGAACATCATGTCAGGATAAATTATGTTTATTCTAATCACTCAATCAGCCAAGACTGAGGCTGCTGCCAGAAAGAAACACTTAGCAATAAATGCATTTAAAAAAGTTACAGGAATCTTACAAGGGACATAAGTTAACCTGACTAAAGTGTTGCCATCAGAGCTGGTGATGCTTTGAGATTTTTTGCTTGATATAGGCCTGACAGCCATGTGGTTCACTGTTTAATTTTAGCTTGGTCTGTGGGCAAAGGAAGGACTTCTACATCCAGGCTTGTAAAGCCACTATTTTCCATGGAGATTATTTTTACCATTCTAAAAATACATTGCTGACATGAGTACCAAAGTTCCTATCCAGACCATTCTCTCAAAGCCTTTTGGTCACTTACGCAAAAAACTGGCTCACAATAAAAAGATTTTCTGACCTTAAAGAAGGTCCAAGAATGGACTGGAATTTTAACTTGCTCATAGTTTCTGCTTTGACTTCTTGAACACAGCCCATTTTTCTGCTTTTTAGTGAGGTATCACTGCTCGAAAGCTTCCGGCAGAGTGAACCACGTGAGCCAACCTTATGGGAGTGGAAGCTGCTCCTAAACCCAGGCATTTTGGGCTTTTCACTAACTCAGCTTTCTGCTATTCTTGTTTGAGATCCAGGGGACTGCACATGTGCCTTACTGCATCTCCTCAATTGTCATGGGACGTTCCCTAATTAACTGTAAGAAGTCAAGTAAGGTGCCAGCTGGCCCAGCCTCCTCTGTCATAAAACAGGGGTTTAATATGTTCAAGTTAAGGTGGTTGAGAGAGAGGGATGCAGGTAAAAACACAAGCCAGCAGGGAAAATTGATTTTTTTTTTTCATTACTTTACAGATTTTAGAAGAAATGGTTTTTCCCCCTCTCCCATCCTAAGTAAAAAGAGATCAATTCTGCTGCATTCCATAATACTTGGAACAGAAAATAGATTATTTTTAGCTTATTCCCTGGGTGCTGTGTAGGCTTCAGTCTTTGGAGTCACTTTGTTCCCGGCTGTAGCAGATACAGGACTTTTAAAAACTTCAGAGAAAAAAATAATTAGGAGAAAGAAGAAAGATTTCAGAACAAATCTCTTGCTCTGTTTTCTCCCCCTTTCTTCCCCTTTCACTCTTCACTTACTGCTGCCCCTGCATTTTAGAAGTTTCCTTCACTTTGGCTCTTCCTCAGCATGAATTACTCACTTGAAATATTTTGAACAGAGGAGGGAGAGATTRGAGTTAATTTTAGGATGGGGAAATAAGGCAAAGGGAATGAAATCCTGGGAGAAAAAGCAGCAAAGCCRGTCCCTAGATAGCACAAGAGGCCAGGCTGTAGTCACGGGGTTAAAATATGGAGCCAGACACACACATTGTGAGAGAGACATGCAGATGGATAAACTGAAGATTTCTGGCTTTCAGGAGGAAAGTCACAGCTGAGCTGGCTGTGGCAAGTGACAGTAATGAGCTCCAAGGGTGAAGTTTGGGAGTGATTAGAGAATAAAAATGCCCCTGAGGCTAAGATGGCACTTGTGGCAGCAGATTTCTGACAATTTTCTAAGACCCTTGGGCAGCTTCACGTTGTTGTTATCCAAAGTGGAGCTGATTTAATCTGYTGGAGATGAGCTCCATCCCAAACACTGACTTGTCTTTTTTCCTTGAAACAATCCCAGATCCAGTCTGTGTGTATCTAGTGAGCAGCCCAAGCATGTGTGTTTCAGATGCAGAGTATATTTCTATCTTTCTAGCATTTAGATGGTCAGACTTTAATTYTCAGGGCAGAACACAGTGTGACTGGTTTATTTTCCCATCTCTGCAAACGAGTAAGTAGATGCTGTAGATGTTGGAAGTGGAATCTGTTATCCTTACAGCCTTCATATATGCATAGAGTCCAGAACAAAAGGAAAGTAATGTCCTTTAATTTAATWAACTTAATTTACAGTTAACCAGCAGAGAGCTGTTTTCAAAAGTCAACAGACAGAAACAAAACACTCTGTGTACAGAGCTGGGACAGACGTACCTGGGCTCTGACGTGGGGGAACGTGCTGTAGGCATTAATAAGGGAGCAGTGTTGACCACAGCCTGGGAATTATAGGCAGTGTGGCATTCATATTCACCCAACAATGTCTCACTTGTGCTTGGTATTTTAATTTCCTCAGGTGGATTTGCAGCTGCAGTCACCACACCTCTGGACGTAGCGAAGACGAGAATTATGTTGGCAAAGGTAAGAGGGGAGGAGGCCACCAGAGAGGCAGGTGAGTGGCCTGGGTATGCCAGGGTTTCTGCAGGATTGTTACAGAATGAAATCCAGCACCTGTTTATAATCCTTTCTGCTCTTGTCCTCGAAGGCAGGGGTAGATGTGAACAGGCACTGCATGCAGAGATAATGAAATTGTTGTGTTCCTTTCCTTGATTTGGTCCTCTGGTCTGCTCCTTTCCCAAAGGAGCAGTGTGGAACAGGCTTGGTCTTGTGCTCAGCTTCCAGAGTCTCCTGCAGTATCTTCAGGAGAAAATCCTTGCAGAGTCAGACACCCAAARTTAAACTGCTCATCAGGGATTTATTGTGCTGCTGTTTTGATAATTGTTGTGTCTTTTCTGAGGAGGGCTTGRTACTGGATTTTCTGTTCTAAAATTTTAAGCMACAAGATAGTGATGGCCAACATCTKCCAACCAGGGCAGAAGGAAGATAGCTTATAGGATCAGTAAGTTTAGTAAGTTTATAAATTGCTAGTGAGTGGGATGTTCCCATCATCATTTCCTTSACCCAGAGCAGAGCTGACAGCCACAGAGCTAAAAGGCATCAGCAGGTGGATATTCCTAAAGCTTTTCCCTGCCTTGAAWGAGCTGTTGTGTTGGCAAAGGATGGGATCCTGGAGATTCTGTGGGTAAATAACTAAATCTCTGACAACATTCCATTCTGTCTCTCTCTGTGGTGCAGGCTGGTTCCAGCAATGCCAGAGGGAATGTTCTGGCTGCCCTTGGTGGAATCTGGAGGACACAAGGCCTGTCAGGGTAAGGACGTGCTGCACCTCGTGTTGTGTGTCTGTGTGTTGGGGATCTGCTGATATTTCAATACTGTCACACAAAAAAGCCYTTTGATTGCTGTACACCTGGGCAGGGAGCAGCATTTGGGGAGCCAAGAACAAATCCCTCAGGGAGGTCGAGTGTCCTCACCTCAGCACTGGCTGGGGGCAGTGTCCAGGGAAGAGCAGAAAAGGGTCATTGTTAGGTGTTTGTCCAATCCCTAAGACCAGCTCCAGGCACCAGAGGCAAGGGTGGCTTTGTGTTAATAATCCATGATGGACTTTTCCCTGTGAATGTGTGCATTTGTGGTTTGTGTGAGGACAGCAGTTTCATTTGAGGGGTGTGAATCCTCTTTCCCGAGGTGTCAGGAAAGGCCAGCAGAGAACCCACATGTCCCTTACGGAGATTTTTTCCTTCTCCTGGCAATTTCGTACAGATTTGAAAGCACCAGCAAGGTCCCCTCTGTTCCTTTTGATTTGCCATTCTTGCTGAGGTGCTCTGTGAGCTGGCAGTGCCAGTGTGGTGGCAGTTTGGGGACAAGCTGAAGCAGAGGGAGGTGCCTTGGGCTCCCTGATTTGTGCTTTGAGCCTCCTGTCAGCTCTGGCCTTGAGCACGTGCACCCTTGGATTTTTCCAGTATGGACCCCATTGCAAAAATACAAGTTTTCTTAGCCAGGCTTGAGTACAAAGAGTAAGTCTGAGCAGCCACAGAGCAGCTCTCCAGGGATTTCCTGCTGTAGCCAGAGTGTAAAAATGTTCTGAGCTTTCCTCTGAGCAGCTGTGGAGGTCTGGGGTGATGTCCTTCCAGTCTCCTAACTGCTTCCCTTTGTCCAGTCTTGAGACAGAGAACTGCTCTCCTGACCTTGGAGCAGTGTGGGAACACAGAATCCTCTGATAGTGTTTCTAGAACATTTTGAGRTGTCAAAAGCTTATAAATTGTTATTGTTTTTTATTGGCACTGCTTCATTTACACCACCTTGTCTCATACCAATAGTTGGCCTCTCAAGGTGTATATGAAGTTCAGCCTGTGCTCCCTTCAGAAAGGCTTGTGTCTCACCTGCCTTTGTCCTGGAAGAGGAATTGAAGGGGTTTTGGAAGCTTGGGGCTTTGCCCTGTCATTTTCCCTGGGTTTTTAACCCTCTGAGTCTTTGTCACCCTAAGCATTGTGCACATCACCACTTTGCGGGGGGACAGCTTTCCCTGAACATCTGATCACCGCTTGCCCAGCTAATAAAAGTTCAACCTTCTTTCTGCACATGTGGGAAATAATTCAAAACAAATTGCAGGAAGTTCCTGAACAGCGATTCCAGGAAGGCACCCAGCTGTGCCCCCCGGCAGTGCTCAGGGATGGGCTGGCTCAGGTTTGCCTCTCAAAGGGGACGAGCTGATGTGGCAGTGGATGAATTTTGGGTCCTTACACGGTTTGGTGGACTCTAAGGCATGTTTTGAAAGGGTCTGGGAGAAGTGAGGCCATGTCTGCTGCTGCTGGAGGTTGAGCTCTGAAGGGTGTGAAGAGGGATGGATTTGAGTGAGGAAATCTCCTCCACCCCCCCAGCCAACGGCAGAAAGTAAAAAATGTGTGTTTTTGTTCTTTTCAGGGAGTTTCAGCAGTGCCCTTTTCTAAACAACCCAGAATTAAACTCTGCCTAAAGATAGTACCCGTGGACTAGGACCAAAGGGAACACAATTCAGTTGAAATCAAAACAATAAGAGATGTGGAGAAAAAAGCAACGTGTAAAGGAGGCCAAGCTGCGTCAGCTGCAAGGAAAAGGAAGAAAGTCTTGGGAAAAATAAACGCAGAGGCTGCCATGCCTGCTGCCAATTATAAATCTATTAATCAAAACCAATAAAAATGTCGGGCTTTTTTGGCCAGTTGCAACATGACATGATTTATGGCTCCTCTAATAAATCTCATACTTGAAGAGGAGGAATTCTGAGGGCAGAAAGACGCRTTGCTTATTGCCACCTTATTAAAACCAGAGCACAGGGCTCAGCTTCCTGGTCTGCACCTAGTAAATCCCTTTGCTTCACCAAGCCAAGAAATTCCACATCTCTTTCTGTCCAGGGAGAGCCAGGACTGTGGCAGGAGRTGGGATRRGGRTGGGATGAGTGGATCTGTGCACCTCYTTGCTCTTGCCAGTGGGGCAGAGGAATTATTCATAGAAAAGGGAGTTTGCATCTGATCCAGCAGCTTCTCACACAGGAGATGGTGGTGTTTGGAAGCCATGGATGAAGCTTCACAAGTCACTGGTGAGAAACACGAGGATTATCAGAGCAGTGATGTGGTGAGCTGAGCTGAGCTGAGCTGGGGATGGAGCTGATGGTTTTGCACCATCCTGTCCCTCCTAGGAGCTTCCTGCTCCGAGTGRTGTTGGCACGTGTGAGGTACAGATTTAATTTTGAAATAATAATGCCTCAACATTGTTTAATTTTTGTTTGTAAAAGTGTGAGTTATGAATCTCAATTTCATGTTTAAGCACCCGAAGGGCACATGCCTCAGCAGTAGCAGCACATGCATTGTCCTCTCCCTGCAGACTTGTCCTGCTCATCCTTCATGTCCCTGCTGTCCCCTGAACCTGAGCCAGGCCCACAGAGAGCTGAGTACAAAGCCATAGCCAGAGGAGAGCAGTGCTTTGTCTCAGCAAGGCCACCTTGCTGCTCCACAGGGTCATTCTTAGGTTTTGTGGCCAAGCACGCAGTGCTTTTTTCAGCACAGTGCTGTGTTCAGGCACTGCAGTGCTTTACCCATTTTCCCAGGAAAGTGGTAGAATCAGCAGCCCTGGAAGTGTTAAAAAATGGGTAACTGTGGTGCTTGGGGACATGGTTTAGTGGTGAGCTTGGCAGTGCTGGGTTATTTTGGCCTTGTCTTCTTCAACCTAAATGATTCAATGATTCCAAGGGTATCCTGTTAGTCTCTTGTTAGGAGCTGAGGAGTGGCAAAGTGCCARGTGAAATCTGCAGACAGCAAATCCAACTAGACAGCAGAGCTCTGCCCACCAGAGCRGCTTCTGATGGGGCCAGCAGAAATAAACCCAATTTATCTCATCTGCTGATGGGGGCAGGCRGGGGCCAGTTTGGGTCAGAACTGCCACAGAGCTCAGCTGTTTGGATTTGGGAGCTCCCTGCCCTCCTGCAGAAAGGGAGCTCATGGTTGGAGAGGCCATGGGTGGCAGGAGGGAATAGGAAACTGGGGGAAGCAAGGCCAGGATTCTTGGAAGTGATGGTTGGTAATRGGGGTTGCCAGGGATGCAGCTTCTGGGTAACTCAGTTATGGGTCCTGTTTGTGTAATAGCCGTGTCTCGAGCGGGCTGTTCTGGAAACAAATGTTCTGCCCCTGCTCCCGTAATGAGATCCCTAATTGGGCAGCAGAGGGATGGTGTGTGCTGTGGGAGCMATGCTGCTCCCTGGGATTTGCCCTAGCAGTGCTCTGTCCGTACATGCCTTGTACAAATTACTCTGTTTTAAAGCTGTCATTATGGTAATAGACCCAATTGCTGTCTAGTAAAGCCATAAAATGTTTCCATCTGCCTGTGTGCTCCGGGCTCCTTAGCAGAGCTCGTTACAGAGGTTTCCCTGTGCAGAGGAGCAGGAGCTCCTGAGCAGCCGGGTCTCACCAGGAATTGTCCCACTGTGGACACTCTGTGATCAGGAAAAAGCCAGGGACAGGGTCCCTGTGGAGCTCGAGCAGGCTGAGGGTGATGGATCTGGGAGAGGGAGTGGGATGCGAAACGGATCAGAGCCTAATGTTTAATCCTTGCTTGCACAAAGGAAGCCTGTGATCCTCTGGGAGGATACACGGGCCTGTCCTGAGGTTGTTAAACCAACTGTGAGTTTAGATGTGTCAAACAATTGGCTTTGCATGAGTTTCCTGTTAATTTTGAAGAACTATGAGGGTCAGCCACCTAGAAAGGGTGGCAGGTGAAGCTGCCACAAATGGAATATTCCTGCTCCCTCATGGCTGTTGTGTGTTAGTGGGAATGAGCCACTCAATGAGTGGGGCTGTCTGTGCAAAGGGGAGGCTGGATGGGGGCAGTGGAGGACAGGATTGTTCCCATCTGTCTGCAGCTCTTTGTGGGATGTGTCCAAGCTCCCCTTTCCAGTGGTCCATATTGGCCTCCTGCCTTTTCCTTCTGCACCTGGGGCRTGTGGAGAGGGGTCAGAAACCACAACCCTTGGGAGGGCTGTGCAGGGAAGTCCAGACAGATTCCTTCAGCTGGTAATGGGGTGAGACTTCAGAAACCAGCAAGAGAGAGCTTTTCTTTGTTTTTCCGAAGCCCCTGCACCCGCTCATCCTCTCCAAGTGCCTTCCCTTTGCCTTCAGCTTGTTTGCAGGTGTTGTCCCACGGATGGCAGCCATCAGCCTGGGAGGCTTCATCTTCCTGGGGACATATGAGAAGACTCGGCAGCTGCTGCTGTGAGCCAGCCTGGCCCATCCTGCTGCAGGAGAATCTGGAGAAGCCACCGAGCAGAGGAGGAGTCAGAGCAGAGCCTTCCTCCTGCACCCCTCGCAGCAGCTGTCCCCAGGCTGAGAGCCACTCTCCCTGCTAGAGAAAAGTAAATCCTCCAATAATCCCGTTTCCCAAACATGAAATTTTCCTGCATGGAAAGTGGGTGAGGTCACTGCGAAGAGTCGTGCCAAAGAASTAATGTTTGGGGGGTAAACAGCTAATTATGGTGGCTGCAAAAGGCGTTATGAGAACTCCTGCAGGGAAAGTGTTTTGGAAAGCTCTGGCTCGGGGGCTGAGGGGGGAGGCTGAAATAAAGCAAGTTTTCATCATTCAGTGGCACCTGCCTCGTAACAGGGGAGGGGAAGGGGCTGATAGAGTTACAGCCTGCTGCCCTCCAACAGCACCGAAAGGATTCCGGCTTGGGAGAGCTCTTTGTAAAAGACAATAATCCATTTGTTTCTGATTTGGGCTGTATTTGTGGAAGTTTATATTCCTGTTTATACCTACAGGTGCTCAGCAAGCATTCCTGTGTGGGAGCCAGTGCAGCTTTATTAATCACACTCACATTTCTCCAGTAAAAGCACGGGYTTGTATTATTTTACAGCTGTGCTTGAGCAAAGACGTGGAGCTCTGCCTTCTTTTGCTCTTCATCCCTCAGCAGCTGAAGCCTGGGAGGGCAAGGCAGGGAGAATATGGGAATTCTGCTGATGTTGGGGTGGATCTTGAGGGCTCTCAGGGGGCTGCTGGCAGGCAGAGCAAAATTCTGGTGCTGTTCTCGTGTAGGAAAGAGGAACTGCAGCAGCCGAAAAGGTGCGGGGATGAGTGTGATGGAAAAACTTTCTTGGAATTACTCAAAATTATCACAAGAGTTGGTGCTGGGGGCAAGTTTACAGCATCAGCTTGGCTGAGTGGGGCTTAAGGAGGTTCAGCTGTTGGAGTCCAGGTTGGTGCCTGACCAGGGGACAYGTGTGACACCGGAGCCCCTGCCAGAGTGCAAACAGCCCAGGCTGGATGTTTTATKGCACCGCCATCCATGACAGAGTAGTAAGACTTTTTAGAGGCCAAAACTTAGAAAATAATTGGCAGACAAGTAAAACATACAGAACAAAGGACATAATTCTTAAAAATAATCTTCAATTAAAATGGGGGAATTTAGCCAAGTCCCATATTGGCTGGTTGGGAACGCCACTCGTTGCCATGGCTTGGTGTAGCTGTGCTTCTTGCCACTTTGAGGTTGTCCCTTTGATGACATTATAAATATAAATGTATATATCAGAACCAATTTTAGGGGCTGGGATTGGGRGAAGGAGATTTACTACTCTGTCTCAAAACTCCAATGTATTTTCTKTTAAAGCTCTTTAAACACGTTGAGGGGGTTAGCACTGCAGTTGATACATTTAATTATTTGAGCTATAAATAATCAGCTTTCATAAGTCATTGAGTCCAAATGGTGCATTTTCTGTTGTTTTTATTTAATATAGCAGAATTAGCAGAATCAGTTTTTGTCATCACCTTTTTTTTCTTTCTTTAAATTAAAAAAAACAACCAACCAAACCCAGCCAATGAGCCAAATTGTTTTAGTCAATCTAATGGTGGGAGGGGACAGACCCCAAGTGCTTCCCTTRCTCTGTGCTAATGGGGCAGCTCTGCACCACAGGAAGGCCAAAAGTACAGGGGAGTGGCACCAGGCAGGTGAGCCCAGGGCTGTTCTGCATGCACCAATTTGTCTATTCTGGACGACAAGGACATTTTTAGTTTGGGGGGGAAAGAGACAAAAAAATGTGTGTTTTTTCCTAGGACTGTTTGCCTTAGGTTTTAGCAATGTTTTATTTCAAGTTTACCAGAATTAAAAAAAAAAAAAATTATTGAATTGTAGCCCATTAGTGGGATAAAATGGGATAACAACTTGAATTTCAAACCAGGTACCAGCCTCTTAAAGCCTGTTTCCTTTCTGTTTTAAAAAACRTTAACTCCTACATGGTTAAGGGACTCTGAGTAGCCTCAGATGACCTGCTTTATACCCATTATAATTCCAAGGAAGAAATAGTTTTATTTTTAAAAAAATATACAGAAACTGAATTGAGATTTTAAGTTAGAGCAGGAATTCAGGCTTATCATCTCCAAAGCTGCCTCTGGAATTTCCATCCAGGGTGGGGTTRGGGTTTGGAAACACCAGAGGTGTTCACAACTGCAGCTGCCTCTGGTGCTGTCCTGGCCCTGTTTTTACTTGCACACACAYTCACACCCCCAATCTGTTCTGTTCTCAGTGCCAAGATATGGGCACTTGCCAGATCCTAAAGCAAGCTGATATATTGGAAATTTATATGTGACGAAKTTTTGTATTTTTCAATCCAGCCCCAAATTCCACCCCATCCACACCCCAAGCTATCAGAGCCTCACGCTGTTCCCCAGGATCTCATRGCCCAATTTCAAGAGCAGGTACTTTGACAATTAATCCCCATTTTCATGAGAGAAACACAGCAAATATAGCAATGGATTAGAATTTTATTTAATTTTCAACTGAAACTCCCAAAAGCTCACTCTCAACAAATCAGCTGTAATATTATAAATGAACCTTTATTAAAGACACTTCAATGCCGTTTGTTAGACACTTCAATATCTTACATGTTTTTCAATGTACAACATTGTACCAAATTTTCTAATAAATAAATAAATTTGTACACAAAAGTAATACTTCCTCTTTCACATTGCCTCTTAGAAGCAGCAAATTCACATATTTAGTGGAAGTCATAACATTAGGCAGTTAACTTTATTCAGAAACATTATTTTCAAATGTTAACATGGCAAATATGCTTTGTATCYGCACTGGTGATGACATTTCTGCCAGCAAAACGAGCTCATTGAATCATTCCCATCTTCCCTGTGTCCCTGCTTCCATGAGTGGGTTCTGGAGCACTTTTCCCTTCAGTGAAGGAAAAACTACGCTCAATTTATAATTTTCTGACATCCATTTCCTTTGCTTTGAATAAACTTGGCACTCAACATAATTCGCCACCTGTCTCAAAGTGCAAACGTGTCAATAGTCAGGGACTGGGGCAGACAGGTATGGCTGAATTATGCCTGGCTTCATCCAGGGGCAGCTGCTGCTCTCCCTGACCTGAGAGCCTGAGGTCCTGCCCTTGCAGGAGCTGGTGGCTCCTCAAGCTAAGGCTGGGCAGGACCAGCTTTAATAAAACCAAGAGGCACCTTGCAGCTGCTCCCTGRAACCCCACAGGTGCAGCAGCACTGGGGTAGGTCCCTAAATGATGGATCTGAACTCAACATGAAGGGTTTCTGCCCTTATTTCTGCTGCTTGTTCTGAACCACAGTCAWGGCAAAGGTGGATTCCCACCAGACTCGGCCTCAGTGGAACTGGTATTTGAGTTGCTCCTAAGGAAAAAATATCAACCCTCCCTGTGATAAACCTGCCCCCAAAGTAGTCATCACCAGAGTTAGCAACCTCATGTTAGCAGAACTCAGATCACAAAGAACCAGGAGTCCTCCATCCACAGGTACCAACAGACACCAACKGAAAGCAGCCTTTCTASAAATAAAAAGCCTCAGGGTGAAGTCAGAAGTGACAAGATCTGTTTGACTGAGGTGGGCATTTCTTTACTTCTCCCCATTTATAGATTAACTTAAAAGATGACATATAAAAACATTTGGGAAATTCCATTTAAAAGTCAATTCAACCATGAATCCACAGTTTTCCTTCTAAAACAAGTGTTATTTCTGACTAGCCCAGAATTGCTATGCAAGGCAGCACAGCTTACTTGAAGGTGGYATTTTCCTATAGAGTCTGGCTGTTCAACTACAAAGTATAATATTGTGTTGCAAGAAAAAAAAAATGGAGGAATTAATGATACAGCTGTCCCCTTAGGAGTGTGATTTTGTTTTGTTGTCAAAACAGCTCTATGGTTTCAAACCCCCTCCAGAACAGCTGTGTTTTTTGGGTGTGAAAATGCATTACACTGGCACAGGTTATTTCTKCTGAGCAGGGCAAGGCTGGGTGACTGCACACACCTCAGACAGGTAGAGCTGGGTCCCTTTGGGAGGGGAAAGGGGCTGTGCTGAGGGCTGTGGGGCTCAGTGCTGTGCCAGCACACATGGCAGGTAACACCTCCTGCGATGATGTGTTTGAAAGGTGCACTGTTATGAGACCACCCCTGGTTTACTGCACCAGTTATTTATTTTGGTAACGACTGCTTCCCAGTCATAACAGCCTTTTCCTCTGGTTGTTTTGGGGCTCTGCACTSTTGCTGAGTTATTTAGTGCCTCCTGTGTGGTCCACTCTAAAGTATCACACAGTCACAATTCAAATACAAATTTTTATGRAGTTTTGAAAAATAATGGAATTTAAGTTTTTCCAACAACACAAAAATACCAKGTTGCTACGTAATGTTTCTGCTTATTTTCCTTATATATTTCATTTGACACAGCTGAAGATCTCTGTTTAAATGTGTTAAGTGCAATAAATTTCAAAGGGGAATGAAATTTGTGCTAAATAACTCAGTTCAGTCACAGAGTGTCTTGGGTTGAAAGGGACAGAATCACACAAGACCTTTGAGATCATCAGGTCCAACCTCTGCCTAACAGCTCCTTATCAACTAAACCATGGCACTAAGTGCCACATCCAGGCTCTCCTTAAACATCTCCAAGGGTGTGACTCCACCACATCCTTGGGCAGCCCAACCACTCTTTTTCCTAATTTTTTCCTAATGTCCAGCCTAAAATTCCCCTGGTGCAGCTAAAGGCTGTGTCCTCTTGTTCTGTCACGGTTTCCTGGGAGAAGAGACCAACCCCCACCTGGCTGCACCCTCCTTTCAGGGAGTTGGAGAGTGATAAGGTCTCCCCTGAGCCTCCTTTTCTTCAGGGCAAACCACCCCAGCTTCCTCAGCTGCTCCTCACAGGATTTGTGTTCCAAACCCCTCACCAGCCTTGCTGCCCTTCTCTGAATGTGTTCAAGCGTCTCAATATCCTTCCTGAACTGGGGGCCCAGAACTGGACACTGCAATCAAGGTGTGGTCTTACCAGTGTCGAGTACAGGGGAAGAATCCCTGCCCTGGTCCTGCTGGCCCCACTGTTCCTGATCCATTGGCTTTCTTGTTCCAAGGACACCTTTCATTAGCCCAGGTTGCTCAGAGATCCATCCAGCCTGAACACGCAGGGATGGAACCTCTGCAGCTTCTCTGGCAACCTGCACCAGTGTCTCACCACCCTCACAGGCAAGAATTTCAGATTCTACTGTATCTAACCTAAATTTCCCCTCTTTTAGTTTGAATTCATTACTCCATGTCTTGTCCCTACAGTCCTCACACTGAGGACACCAGAGCTGTGTGGGGTCTCACCTGAATGGAGCAGAGGAGGAGAACCTGCTGCCCACAGTGCTCTGGATGCAGCCCAGGACACATCTGGATTTCTGGGCTGTGAGCACACATGGCCAGGGCATGTCCAGCCTCTCAYYCACCAACACCCCAAAGTCCCTCTCCACAGGGCTGCTCCCGGGTCACTTCTTACCTGGGATTGCTCAACCCAGGTGTACAYGGTGTAAAGGAACTTCCACTGAAAATAGGACAGTCCCTTTGGAACAGTCTGGCTTTTTAAAGKTCTGTTTATGCATTTAAGGCACCAGAATTATTTCTCTCACAAAGTTTAACAGCAACCTGATACTGAAAACAATATTGCCAAAATTGTAAAATTTCACTCAGTTTTCCATGCACTAAAGATTAAAATAGCCTCTKTAAAAGATATATATTTTTATATATATATATTTATATATGAAAACTCTTATGTACAATTGTATCAAATACTTTTCTCTTTACACAATAATCYCTTGCATTTATGTGCTTCATATGCAAGTTGACTTTTGAACACTTCATACTTCTCAGGGAAGTTTTAAACTATGTACAATCAGATGACGCTCGAACAGGAGTTTGTTCCCCATACAAGCTTGTTTCTCATACCTCAGTTGGTTGCCTTTGCCAGGCTGTCAGTTCAAGATTCGAGGTAGAAGTAAGTAGCCTATATACTCTGTGCAAAAAAAAAAAAAAATTAAAAAAGTAATAGTGTGTTTGTTAATTTGCACGTGGCAGTGAGTCTGTGCTCTCAGTCCAGAGACCTGCTGGGTGGCTTGGGCTCATGAGYGGAGTCGCAGGGCTGGGCTGCGGTGCCGTTGGGCAGGAGAGCCTGCTCCTCTGCTTCCCTCTGCAGATCCAGTAGTGCTGGGGACATTTCRGGAAGCACGTTCAGTTGCTTTAATGACCCTCCTGCTGGCGAAGCTCTCACCAAGTTAAGGTTGTTAAGCTCTGAAGGCTTTGCTGCTGCTTGTGAAGAGCCTGCAAAAACCCAAAGGATCAGCACGGTTAGGTGATGCTCGGCCTGCCAGCGCTCCCATCCTCCAGCACCCAACCCCAACGCTGCCATCTGTGCCATGAGTAAGTTGAAAAGGCTGAGGGGAGCACATGGGGCTGTGCTCCAGCCCTGCTGGTGCCCCAGGAGTGACCCCAAGGAAGGACATACCATGCGTGTCCGTGAGCAGCGCGCCGGCCGTGCCCCCCGGCCGTATCCTGTCGTGGTTGCTGGGGTAGAGGGTCCCRTCTGTTTCCAGCCTCTTGCCGCTGGCAATCCCGTTGCAGGGCTGAGGATGAAGAAGGCTGGTGCCTGCACCCCTCTTCCTATGGCGCTCCTTGCTGCCCAGTGCATTGGGGTGGGTGTTYTCCACAGTCTTTAGGCTCTCGGAGTAGCACTCGGAGTCCTTGGGGTAGATGTGGACGTTCATGCTGTCCACGCTGCCGCTGCACTCCGTGCACACCACGGGCAGCCCGTAGCCTTGGGGGAGRAAGGGAAAACCAGCAAAGGAGAATGAGCAGCTGGAAGTGGTCAGCACTGGAGCATGCAAATCGTGAAAGGAAAGAGCAACTCTGTGCAGTTCAGTGGGGGAAACTCATTAATAATGTGGGCACTTCATGGTTTCACACAGGGCTTCTAAACACCCAGTTTTCAGAACTCTGTAGCCACCATCACTAAAGGTAGCTCCAATTAATAGCTTTAGTTATTTAGGGATTATTTTTCACTCCATAGAAGATGTAACTTCCTTTTTTTGAGAATAAATTGTGCATTTATTTTCTTTTCCAGACTTTCTAATCAGG